GTGAACAGTAAGTATTTAAGGCAAAATTTGTCAAAATATCCTTACAATATTTACTAGTGAAATAGCCCCTAAGGGAGAAATGCATTTTGCAATGAAGGTCTAATACTGGTTCAGCTTGAATAATGTATGTGTACAGCCGTACTATGGAAACTTCTACGTGACCCCAGGTATCTCTCCCCCCCGCCACCCCCCTTTTTTTCCCGTGTCAGTCGGTGTCTCTCTCCTCCTGCTTCCCCCCCCCCAGCGTCGGTCGGAGTCTCTCTCCTCCTCCCCAAGGGTCAGTTGGTGCCTCTCTCCTCCTTTAGCTACTCCCCACCAACGGTTGGTGTCTGTCTCTATTACCACCAACAACCCCCAGGGATGTCTGCTGGAAAGAAACATCTTTCCCCTCCTGCAGCTGTGTGCTCTGCTCCTGTCTTCTCTTGGTGCTTCGCCGGGGAATAAAAAGCTCCGCCCCCTGAAAAATCCTTCCTGCATGCACGTACTCAGGAAGGTACTGGATGTACCCCCCTGATAGCAGCCCTGGGGATTCAGAGTTTTAGCCGCGACCCCCCCTATTCACTTGCACGACCCCATATGGGGTAGCGACCCACACTTTAAGAAGCCCTGTTACAGTACAAGCTATATCCTATTTGTAATAACCAACAAATAAACTTGACAGCACAGAGTACAAAGAACTAAAAAGTAAAAGGCTTTATAAGGATGCATCTGCAAACCACACCAAATATCCAAAATCATAAGGCTGCAGTGATTGTAACTATGTTTGTGATAACAATACTTTCAGTTTGCAAACTAATACAAGGCCTATAAATATACCTATTGTGATTCATGAGAACTTCCAAGGGGCTGAACACGTTTTATAGGCACTATGCATCTCAAAGGTGAAGAATCTTTCTTTTTTTTGGAAGCAATATTTATATAACCTCTGAAAGCCTTTGTTTCCAATAAATCAGTTTTTGATTTGAAAAAGCTTTGTTTTATCTCCACAACAATGACCTTTTCTGCTCTTCTGCACAGACACCTGACAGACCATTACAACAATCACCAGCCAGAAGCAAACTGTATTTTAAGAAAATATTACCCTTCGACATTTATAAATTGACCTTTATATATACAGAATACTGCACTAAAATGCTAATTTAACGTGTGGTAAATCAACTTGGCAGTGCTATAAACCCTTTAGTGAATTTAAAATGTAGAAAATAACACTTGGTAATCACAATATCACATCCACAATGCTTTAGTGAATTGACTACATTGGATGATATGTCTGCCTGCGCAACAAATAGGCAGACGTGGTTCCAGGGGTACTTTCTGGCAGGTTCTATGCTTTACAACAGAGGAGCCCTTGTGAATGCAACGTCTGTTGTACATCTGGGGCTAGCATGGTGATATCGCTATTTCATGAATGCCATCTGCCAAAATACAAGCTGGAACTGGTGTTGCAAGTTGGGCTGATTGCCATTGATGATTTATCTAGAGAAGTAATCTCCTTCCAAGCTACACTTCCTGGCAGATTTAATTGGATGTAAAATTAACTGGCGCATATTTGGAACGGCTGTCAAGCATTCCAGAAAACATTATAAGAATAAACATGATCATTCACTGGTGAAACATAAATTATATGAAATAGGCTAAGACATGGCATGTGTTCTAGTTAATGGATGAATTTGAGATTTTTGACATTACACACATGACAAGTTGGATTGCACACTAATTTTTGGAATAATATTGTTTTTTCATTTATCACGGAACCCATAAATATTTACATACTTATTGAAGGCCAATTTAGTTGATTTGTTGGCAAAAAAAGTGTGTGTATATATATTGCTTCCCTATTTATAATGGTCTAGCCCTCTAGCAACTTCAGCGTGAAATTATAGCTAATTTGCCTACAAACGTCAGGTGGTCATAATAATCTGGCCACTCAGTGTATATGTGTGTATAATATGTGTGTATATTATGCTGACTGGAAGGCATGTTGGGAATAAAAATATGAAGCTGCAGAGTCTTTGTTTAAATATGTAGTAGACTTATCCTGTTATAAGAAAAATGTTTAATAAAATTATGGGGCATATTCATGAAGTAGCGAATGTGACGATCACCACATATTCACTGTAGGTGAATAAGTCACTGTAGCTTAAAACATATATAACAGAAAACCTTTACATTCAGTGAATGTCACATTTGCTGCTTTATGAATATATACCCCTTTGATTTGGGGTATATCTGATATAGGGCTGGAACAACTAAGTTGATAATAAAAATCGCTGTCAATGATTTTCATTATTGATTAGTTGGTCGGATGATTAGTTGGGCTGCTTGCAACTTCTCACACCCTCACTCTCCCCGCCGCCGACAGACATGTCCAAGCCACTCCTGGACACGTCCTGAGCACGCATGCGTGTTGAAAGGCTGGGTTGTGCCAGGGAAAAGAGTTGAGGAGTCCCGGTGGAGCCGCATACTGCCCAGCATCAGGTGAGATGCCGGGGAATTGAGGGCACACTGGTCGGGGCCCAGGAACTATGGCGAGCACTGAGCAGAGTGTGGGGAGCCATGGTCGGCAGGGAGCTTCTGAACTTACCTGCTGGGATGTAGTGCAGCAACAACAGGCCTCCCCCATGTCTCAGCCTCCTCCTCCCGGGGCTGCCCATAGTGGACTGTGGACGGGCTGAATGTTAGTAGTGTGCAATATCAAATATAAATAGACCCCGTGCCAAATGCTTGATAGCAGCAACACTGAAATAATATATTATTAAAAATAATTAAAATAATTGTGTTGCGCTGTGAACCAAAGTGGGGAAAATTGCCAGCCAGGCAGTGAACCCAATAAAGCCTGTGAAGCCCGTGACACACTAAACACAGAGCCACACGGAGCAAAGGGAAATGGCGGTACACAGAGCTTCACGTGCAGTGTGTTTAGTAATATCCTCTCCCACGTTCAGCCAGCTGAAAATTTTAATTTCTAGCCAATCGACTCACATATATAAATCCAGGCGTTAGGACGCGGATTCAAGCGTGCAGCCAATCAGATTCCCCCAGACAAAAGCATCTGGTGAAAGGAGAGAAGTCAGCTTGGTAATGTTGTCCTTCCTGTACAAGTTCTATCTGTGACATATGCAACATATGCCAGGATGAGAGCTATGCAGAAAAAATTAATTTGATATGTCCATTAAATAAACATTCATTCAATTAAATAATTAATATTTCAAAATTAAATAATCAATATTTAATAATTAGATAACTACCGTTAAATAACTTATTAAATTAATAAGAAAATGAATTCAATATGTAAATAATTGAAAAAACAATTGGCCAATTAATTAATTATGAAAACATGTTACAGGGGCATGGCTATCAGCATGGTCATTGCCAATTCACAAGCTTGTCAATCTGCACCAGGCCACACCTAGTCCTTCCCATTGCTTTCTGGGTTGAGACCCACCCTCCATGAGATGTAGTAGGATGGCAATCATGTAGAAGGATTTGACTCACACAGGTAAAGTAAATAAGTTCTTTCACTTACTTTATGAGGCTAGTTTATAGACTGTCATGCAGGAGCCTTTAGTTGCATTTTAACCAATGCAGTATTAAAACCCTCCATTGTAACCCACACAACAGAAGCTATTGTCTGAAGCATTCAGTTAAATCCCACATAATTGCTAATTCTTTCATAGTGTCATCCTTCAGGGCCAGGTCACACTATATCCAATGCATTTCGGGCACTAACTGTGCCATAATTAAAGCCTCTCGAGTTCTGCAGCCGTTGGGGGTGTGATGGTGCTATTCAGGTCAATGGCACCGCAGCCACGCCTCCCACCCGCAGTGAAATTGCCTGCACCAGAACGCGTGGTAGAGCAATGCTCGCGGACCCTTGCAGTGCGATTGCAAAAAATAGTGCGTGCACTATTTGATAGCAATAAAGTTAAGTGAAAAAATAATAATAATAATGTGAAAAAAGATAGTCATAAAGTAAAGAAATTATAAAAAAAAAAAAAAGATAAAACAAAATAAATAAATATTAGAACCAATCCCACCACCCCCGCATTCGAATAAATGCACAAGTAGGGCATTATGTGCGCTGCCCCCATTCCACAGTGTGCAGTACTGTGGTAGCACAATGTGTCTCAGTCATGAAGGGGTTAAACGTATTTACCGCTCATCAGTTTAGAGTTATCAGTGATTGATGGCCCTAGAATTATTGTTCTCACTGCGACGTTCGCGGTGATATGTAACATGTGCTGCATAATGGGCGCAATCGTCGTTTTTGTACATAGGTGCACCCGACGCATGTTTGCGCGTGTATGTGGGGGGGCGGGGGACATTAAAACATTTTTTGTGTTATTTTGTTTAATTATTATTTGTGAATATTTTTTTTTGCTTTACGGCCATGGACGGAAGGTAGTTAAAGGGTAAATTTACTTTCCCAAGTAATTTGGGAAAATGGAATTACCCACTACAATTTGGCCCCCCTTCCCCTCTCTTGGTATACTTAGCTTTCGGTGAAAGGTCCTTCCCCTCCGCCGGTCCGGGTGTACTATCTGTATCTGAATTTCGCTCGCAGGTTGCGACCACTTGTTGGTTAGCGTGGTCAGGTGATAGCGCTGACCAATGTGAAGTGCTTATAACACGGTTAAATAAGGTTTTGGCTAAAATTATTTTGTATTTAACGACAAGTAGATTGGGCCCCCACTTTAGTCTTTGGACAACAAGTTTGTTTGAAAAAATTGTCACACCCCTGAAGACAAATGTATATATTATTTTGTTTCTTTCATAAACATGCCGCTGCATTAGTAAACATTTAGTGTTAAAGTGATGAAAGTTTAGAGTTTCTGTGGGTCTTTGGGTATATTCCCCTCGTATTCTGTGCAGGTAACAAATATCAGACAAAAAATAAGTGAGCGCAAACTCCTCCAAACACACAATTAGTAAACTGGCAGACGGTCTAACCCTTTATCATTTGGGCATATTTATCTACATTGAAAGGGTTCACAACTGACCTTAAAGTTGTTCTCTTTGGGTTTCCTCCTCATAATCAGGTTGAAGGTTTCATACACATCTTCAGCTGCATTCTGAATGGTGTTTGTCATGTCTTGTTGATACTGATTTGGATCTAGAAACACTCGGAAAGTTCTTGCATCTCCTTTGAGTTTGGGTTTAGGCTCGGGTCCTACAAAAAAAAAAAAGTAAAATAAGCTTCACTGTCTGAAGTCTTACACAAACGAAGCAAGCCCTGTATAGGTACATGGCCAATTTCCTAGGGTCCACTATATGTTTAGTTCAAGTCACTGGAGCAGGCTGAATTGAGAACAGTTAACACAACAGAGCACACAAAGAACTATAAAATCACAATTTTAAAAGATTCTTAGTGACCAGGCCATAGTTTCGTAAAGAATTTAGATGCGAGGTGTTGAATACTTCACTATTATAGTCCAATATCATACAAAACAGGATTTTCTTAAATCGAGCATCGCAGGACACAGAATGGTTGATGTAACCAATGGGGCATCAAAACACAGTTCAACTGAAGGGTGGGCTCGGTGAAAAGCTAACAGACCCAAGAAAAACAACAACGAAAAATAAAGATATGGCACAACAGTTCACAGGGCCACCTGGCCTCTGTTGAGGTCTGGATATCCACCTGGTAAAACTTAAACATGAATGAGAAGCTGGAAGACCCATGCTGAGGGGCTAGAGTCAGACTGATTAAAAGAGGCTGTAAACTCGAACCGCACGCACCACATTCAGACAATTTTGAGAAATCTTTTTGAGATGCTCAGATGCAGGACATTAAGATGACAAAACAATGTCCTGGTTCAAGTGGAAGGAAGAAACCACCTTAGGAAAGAAAGAGATCCCAGGCCTCGACAACTTTGTTGTATTGTGTAGTATGGGAAAAGGTTCTTTAAAAGGTCAGAGACACAAACTCAGAAACCTGCCTTGCAGAAGTGATGGTGAAGAGAAAATCAACTTTGGGAGGATAACCAGAGAGATAATCCTAATAGGTTCAAAGGGTGGCCACAATGTGAGAGCGACACAGACTAAAAGGAGTGAGAAGCAAGTGGCCTCTGAAAATGAACCGCTAAAGCTGGCCATACACTAGTAGATTTCCGGACAGACGTTCGTACGAGAGATCTTTTTTTACCACCCGATAATGCCATAAGACACTTGATGAATGTCGATAGAAATTTCGCTTGATTTCAACATTCAGTTTTGGAATGAAGGGAGTTGCCCAAATGAAAACCACATTACTAAAAGTCAAACAAAAGAGTTTTTGTACAAAAGTTCTTTTGAAAAACTAAGCAGTGTATGGCCAGCTTAAGGCTGAGATTTGACCCTTGATGGTACCCATGGCCAAATTCTGATCCAAACCTGACTGGAGGAAAGAGGATTTGTTGCATAGAGTACTTCCTGAGATTGAGCATCATAGCGTCACACCTAGGGAAGTATGTCTTCCACGTGTGATGGTAGGCTTTGCAAAAAGACGCTTTCCTAGATTTCAGCAGCGTAGGGATGACAGAAACTGATAGGCCCCTGTCCCTTAAGACACGTAGGGTGGTAGACCGACCCGTGGGAGCAGAATGCACAGACAATTCAGAAGAAAGGAGCTTAAGAGGTGGAAAGTGGGCAGCATTAGGCAAGGAGGGGGGCTGAGAATGAAACTCTAGTTTGTAGACCCTGCATATGATGTTCTAAACCCAAGCATCCAAAATTACTTTGAATCAGATGGCTGCAAAGGACTCCTTCCACCTTGACATATGGGGGCATCCCTTCAACTGCGAAGAGGGCTTGCAACCGGACTTGGCAGATTATTTGGGCCAGGCCCTAGGACAGAACCAAGCCCCCAGCTTTGACTTGGCTCCAGAAGCTTGCCCAACAGGCATTCACCAGCAAAGGCCATTTGCTTGAGATGTTTCTTGCATGGAAGCTCTGCAGGCCAATGCCTAAGCCAAAGGATCTGTCTCATATGAACCGAAAGAATGCCCATTGTGGATACTAAGTGGAGGGTATCCACCAGCCCATCGACATAAATATGCAGAAATGCAGCTAACATGCTGCCTTGTAGCTCTAAGACTGTATAATTAAAAAAAAATGACAACATGATAAGCAACATGGAGCAAAACCCAATTAGAAGGGAGCTACATAGCAAAATATGTAAACCTCAAATATAACTCAATGAAGCGAGAATAAAGCTTTGACAGTGCCATGGTGCAGAACATAGGAAGAACAATTAGGACACCGTGCAGAGGGGGCTGCAAATGTATATCTGCAAATAAAAGCATATGAAGATACTTTTAATAGAACTATAGCAGGCCATAACCAGAGGGCGGGACTGCTATGTAGAGTTAAAGAGCCTCTAGGGGTCAGAACATAGCACCATTAGCAAAGGTTAGATAAAGAACTAAATAGCAGAGCCTGGGACACTGAGGAGGATGTCATGCTCTGAAACCAGAGAGCATTAGTACATGATGTACTAGCATTCACCACTATGAGCATTCAAAGGATGAAGCCACAAATGTATTGCTGTACTGGAACTCGGCCACACCCTGTGGCTAAGCAATACCATGCCCACAGGGCTGGAAGTCTCAAAATCCATTGCTTAACAGCAGGTTATGTTGCCACGAACAGAGGCAAACCGACTGAGTAACACCTGCAATAGTACAACTGCTTTGAAATTAAACAGGGTCTGGAAGCTCCTCAAAGGGTACTATTGAGACACGCTGTGCAGTGCTCTATGCTGCAATTGATGTCATCATTGAGGACTCGAAGCTGATGAAAAATTAAGCCTTATGACAGAAGTTGTTTGGCATATCCCATTGTCCCTATGTCACCATTTAGCTTATCAGTAAATTAAAAGAGCATGGTTACACACAAAGAGGATCCATAGTTCTACATCTGGATAGGAGGCAGTAGTGAACTAGTAGTATTTAAGCCGTGTCAAATAATGAAGGTCACATATAAAAATGTCTTATTCCCAAACAGACATCTAGTGATGAAGTCAGTGTTCAGAGATTGGATACTCAGTAGCTGAGTCACAGCTCTAAACTTGGAAATAGCATTTTGTACAATACTTATTTAGCACAGTAATAGGCACATTGCAAAGGAAGATCTGAAGGTCCAAGGGAAACAATAATTTCCCACACAGAGGAAATAGAGGCTGGGTATACCACCCATAGTACCTCTCTTTCAAATATCTAAAAAGGAAAATATTAGAGACCGAGCACATTGGAGGTAGCACCTCTGTTTTAAATAGTAAGAGCACTCTTGGTTAATAGACTAAGACACAGAGGTTTGGAAAGAGCACGATGAAGAAGGCAGTGTGTAAACGAAAACATACAAGCATGTCTTTTGTACTTTCTGAGGTGAATTGCACATGAAACTTGCAGATACTGGGTCACCTAGAAGGGTAAAACCACTGCTCTAAAATATAGGTGTACACTGCAGCTAACAGATCTTTTCAGGAGTGGACAGTGCCCCCTGCACAGTTTATAGCTTCGATGGCACTTATCAAGATATCTGCGTCACCGGGATACACTAAAGTCTGGTACACCAGAGGCTGTATCACTGCTATAGGTTGACAAGCTCTCTGTGGCTAACTGACATAGTACACACAAGCCTGGAAGGCACTAAACTGCACAGCTACCTAGATATCTGCTTCAGAGGGAGACATTAGAAACTAGGTAACACCAAGGGCTATATCACTGCTCTAAAAACTGGAGAGTGCTCTGTGTCAGCCTGACACAGTACCTGGAGGTCTTCAAATCACCACGCGCAGAGCCCAGTGCCCAAAGGCCACACATCTCTTCTCTGTCCATGGGTATCCTCCCGAGGTAGTCTTCAGTTACTGGGTCTGTAAAGCACTTTGTGGCTAACAAACCAGTACAATGAGTGTCTAGGGCAGTGATGGCGAACCTTTTTGAACCCGAGTGCCCAAACTGCGACGCAAAATCAATTTATTTATCTCAAAGTGCCAGCGCTGAAAATAAGTTTAGTATTGCAGTTTGGGCGCTCGGGTTTAAGAAACGTTCAGCATCACTGCCTTACGGCCTTGTACGGCTCTCACGGGGGACCCGAACGTCCCGGATCGCCTCTGTAGTCGGGCCGGTCACAATCAGGCAGCGGCGGTGACCTCTAAACAGGCAGATTAGACAGCCGCTTGCGGGGGCCTCCCGGGGTCCTAGCAAGGAGGAAGCAGCCGTCTAACCTACCTGTTTATTGGCCGCCGCTGCCTAATTGTGACTGGCCCAGATCGCATACCAAGGCGATCCGGGTCAGTCGGATCTATTTCAATTGGTGGTCCCTGAACGCAGTGGTGTATTGTGGTTTGGGGCTGCCCTAGGCAAGGCAAAACTCGGGCGCTGTATCCAGCTTTTGACATGTTCCGCTATTAGCATAGCAGGAAAGCTGTGGTCTCAGGGGGGCTTAGCAGGATTTGTGGTGAGCTCTGCGGGGTCTATGGTGGGAAGAGCCCACCACAGATCCTGCACAGGCCCGAGACCCTGCAAACCCCCCCACAGATCCTGCACAGCCTCCTGGAGGCCCTGCAGCCCGCAGGGTCTCAGGGGGGCTGTGCAGGATTTGTAATGGGCTCTGCCCACCATGGGGCTGCAGAGCCCACATAGATCCTGCAAAGCCCCCATGAGACCCTGAAGTCTGCCAGATCTCAGAGGGGCTGTGCAAGATGTGTGGTGGGCTTTGCAGGCGGCAGAGCACCCTACGGATCCTGCAAAGCTCCCCACATATCCTGCAGAGACCCCCTGAGACCCAGCAGTCTACCGGATCTCAGGGGCGCTGTGCAGGATCTGTGGTGGGCTTTGCTGGATCTGTGGGGGGATTTGCAGGCTGCAAAGCCCACCACACCCCACAGTCTGCCGGATCTCAGGAGGGCTGTGCAGGATCTGTGGGGGGTTTTGCATGCTGCAAAGCCCCCCACAGATCCTGCAGAGACCCCCTGAGACTTTGCAGTCTGTCGGATTTCAGGGGGGCTGTGCAGGATCTGTGGGGGGGTTTGCAGGCTGCAAAGCCCCCCACAGATCCTGAAACCCCCCCACAAGTCCTGCAAAGCCCCCCACAGATCCGGCAGTCTGCCAGATCTAAGGGGGGCTGTGCAGGATCTGTGGTGGGCTTTGCAGGCTGCAGAGCCCCCATGGATCCTGCAAAGCCCACCAA